GCCTGCCGAGACCAAGCGTTTTCCATCGTGAATCCTAATCCACTTGACCGTTGATTATCCCATTTCCAGGGAATCCGGAATGAATTGATCTCTGTCTCTATCACTTCGATCAAAGAGTCAACAGATTTACACGGCAAGCTGAAATGGAACTCAGATGGGAACGGTAGGTATTTTTTGGGTATATTGGATACGCTCCTGGAAACGCCCTGCAACATGGCGATCCGTTAGCATAGCTGCTTTAGTCTCCGCTGATCCGTATCCACCACCTACCATTGTCGGCCGTATATCCTTCCACGACCAGGCAATAGCCCAGCGTTTAGTCTTATCCCCCTGGATAAATTCCGTGACTGCCCAATTTTTGTTATCGAGGCTCTGGAGCTCGTCGATAAGTGAGAGGAGACTGCTCCGCTTGCCTAGCATGGAGGTATACCACCTTACAGCCTCTCGTAAATGTAGGCTCTCCTGGATCATCTTTTTAACAAATGCAACTTCCCCTCCGGGTGTTATCATTTCCGTCTCTGCTCCAGTGCAGACCTATAGCTTCTTTAGTTTGATATACAGTACAACGTGTTTTGTGAGGTCATAGGCGTACAGAAAGCGGCTCGTTCTGCTTCTCTTCTGCCAGTTGCTTCATCTCCTCATGGGATTCATAGAATGGAGGATTACACATGGTGAAATCCAGCCTCGAGGCCCAAGTTAATAAGTTTTTGGAGAGAATAGGTAGGTTTCAATTGCTTACATCTTTAACTGGATCCTATCAAGGGGGATTAATGGCCCATCCGGTACTGAATCTACCACTTGGATGCGCGATTGCAGGTTGTTTCTCTGCACATTTTGCCTCGCATATTGAAGATTCTTCCTGTCGATATCTAGATAGCATCAGCAGCAGCTCTCTACACTGTCATTCAAGCCTACACACCTGTTGCAACGAATGTCCATCGTTTTCTGTGCACTGCTCCTAGCAAGGGGTATATACAGCTTGAACCGGTCCCGCTGCCCGTTCAGTATACCATTGTTAGCCCTGAATATATATATATATATATATATATCATGAGGGGAAGGGTATTATCTTACATATCAAGGCCAACTACATCTCTATCAGCATTGAATCCTTCATGGTAGTCATCGCCAGTACAGTCTATCAAATCCTGTAGCCAGAGGATGTAGTTGAGTCTGCAGCAAAACATCGATCAGGCTCCGTAAAACATCAACATTAGAGCAGCTAAACGACCACAACAACGCACCGATTAGGGACCTACTGGCCAAAGTCAGCATCCTTGTCAAGACCAAAACTCGCATAAGTACGACTTACTGGCGGACAGAGTCGGTCATCGGGGAGCTCGATGTCCAGGCCAAAGTCACGACGGAGTAGACTGACGGTTAACTGCCTGTGAAACCCGGGTATCAACCACCGCACCGTAAACTGCAGCCAACCAAAGAGAGATTGTCCCCCCCCCCCCCACGGCAAGCAGTAAAACAGTCAAGTTGCCGGTATCAATTAATCTCCCTACCTGACAGCATCCGGGTTGCTGAAGTCCAGCCGCCCGTTTGCACTCAAGCTGCTCTCGAGACGAACCGTCAGCGATCATGCGGCCACATCCAGAACGAGACGACGAAGAGAGCCTTACAACTCCTTGAAGGCCGGGTCTTGCAGGGCCAGGGCCGTGAAATCGACCTTGTGCCGATAGATGTTCCCTGCAGAGTCCATCGTTGCGAGTCCTCAATTCTGGCGGGCGCAGGGTGTTTTGTGTCAAGCCTGCAGCTATGAAACGGATCTTATGCACCTCGCACTGCAAGGCAACATATAACGCTCGACACTATTAACTATTAATCAAATCGACAAAGGCCGCTGGTTTTACGATGCTTGCCTGTTGGCTTCCATGCAGGTACTAGAAGGCCCCTAGACGGTATGTGGGATTGCCCTACGGCATGTTTATTCCATAACTAACTGTAGCTGCATAACTAGCTAATATTAATAGCCTGAAATGTGATATAGATCTAACCGACTACGAATAACTACACGCTGCCGTTAATTCACTACTTAATCAAACAGGAGTTTGGGCCGGATCCATGCATATAATACCGACATAATCACGAAAGCAGCGGCTGCAAGTCTCTCAAAACATCGGCCGTCTGGACAACCTCCGCGAACTCCCTCAGCGTTGCAACCGAGACGCCATGGACGGTATCTGCATCAAACCGCCCGCAGGGGAACGAGGCAGTAGCATCTTCAACCAGGATAACCCGGCCATCTGTGCTGCCGTCTGGGGCGTTTGTAACGCCCAGGTTGGCCGCCATACGGGTGGTGGTAGATACGCAGTGTTCCGCCGTCAGGCCCAGCAGCAGCAGCTGTCTCACGCCCTTGGCCCTCAGCGTCTTCTCCAAGTCGGTTCCGACCAGGGCCGAGTTCACGTTCTTCCAGAAGACCAGCTCGTCAGGGATAGGTTCGGTGAACGGGTAGAAGGCCGGACCACCGTCTGGGTGGTAGGGATGCAGGACACTCTTAACGTTAGTGGACGAGTGGCCGATGTGGATGACCTCGATATGGGGGTTTCGCGCGTGCGCATCCCGGAATGCATTTATGAGCGCAGTGACATTCTCCTTGTACTGCGGATTTGATCTCTTGCCCCAGTAGGCTTCTTTGTCGAAGGCTGCGTGGTTGTCGATGATGAGAAGGACGGTAGGCAGAGAGAGGTCAAGGGCTGCCATTTTGATTTCTGTGATATCAACACTTGCGTGCTGGCTATCTCACCTATTCAGTGAATATGTCTGCTCTGCTACTTTTGATGTCCCCGTCTAAGTATGATTCATGCGGCCATCTCTCGCTAATAATAATAACCCCCTCGTACAGTGACTGAATTTGTCAGCACGGCCGTATTTTCGGAATTATCGGGTCGGGAATTGATAGCAATCTCAGTATCCGTCTCGAACGACCTACGATGTCCACTTCCTGTGGCTTCTCCTGCTTTGCGTTCATGTCCAAGTTATGACGCCACGCCGGGGATGTCTCCGCCCAGGAAATTGGATAGATCAAGATACCTGCTAGTTAGGCGAGGACCGCATTTTTCTGCATCCTCGCCTAAGTTAATTAGCATATCAACCAGAGAGCTTGATGCTGGGATTCCTCGCCTAGTCTGCGGTGGCGTTGCCTCCGTTGCTGAGATAGACTCCGAGCTCAGGGCAGGATGTGGCCAGGGGCAACTAGCTAGTTAAGTTCACACTGAGGTAAAAATGACATACTTCGTGCAAAGTGTTTATGCATGGCGATAAGTAGGGCTCGCTGCAATTTAACTACTCGGACAATCCTTCCCCATATGACTAGGGTTAACTAGTTACGTGATTTAACTACTTGAACAACGTAAGAACTTCCTGTCTGCAGAGTACTAATTCGTACGCTGTAGGTTGCCGTGAAAATGCCCTCTCGGACTCACATTTTATATTCCGATAGTTAACTAGTCAGGCTGATAAATAATGTATATAAAAGGCGAAACGTTAATAACTAATAGGTGGGGAGGAGAGTGGAATAACGCAGAAAAAGTAAGGATGCATATACTCCGTGAAATTTGCAGGCTCGTAATTGGGTATCAAGTCAACTGACTGAGGGAAACAGGAAAAAAAGAAAAAAGGACTGATACAAACAGCGACGGGGGAGGAAAAAAAGGTAAAAGGAAAAAAAAAGAAACAAAAAGAGACAGGCCCTCAAGAGAGAAGAGAAGCCCACGGAGTAGCCGTGGGCAAATTCGAAGACTGAGGTCCGATACGTCGAGGATAAAATTAATAGAAATCGAAAAAAGGGGGGACACATCAAGGGTGAGATCTAGTTATGGATCCGTTTGTCAGCTGGGCATTTTCAAGATACACTAGTTATTGTGTTTGCACGAGCGGTGTGAAGTGAGAGATCTCGTGGCGAAGGATATGTATGCGAACATGCAGGGCACAATGGTTAAAGTGTGCTGAGAATTGCGATGATTATTTTGAAGGCAGGGGACAGGAAGAATAATACCAATTGCCTGCATGATGCAAGTACCTTTGCTCCCCAAGATCCCTGCAGAAGGAAGAAAAAAGGACAATAATAGGGAAGGGAAGAGGAGTTAAAAAAATAACCGGTGGCGTTGATCAAAAGTAAACATGATCATAGCACCGATTATGGGATGGTCGAGATACATTTGCCGGCTGGTTATTACTTTTTCACTTGGTGTAGCAAGGGTTGCACTTCATCAAGCCGCACACCTTGCAGCGCCAGATGCCGACAAAAGGGCCGCCGTTGCATATCGAGCAGCGCCAGGTCAGGATGCTGCCGTTGCTGGTCTGGACGATCCCCCATTGGTGAGGACACCGCGGGTTGGCCATGGCTAACTGGCTAAGTTGGTCGGTTGGGTGTGCGAGTGACGTTGACGGTGCCTAAAGCGCGTGCGGATGTTTGATTCGGCAGAAGTTCTCCGAAGAGGAACAGACGCTATGCTGCAGGTTACAGCTCGGCCCTGAGGGGTTGGGTAACTAAGGGGCGTCAGGGGGTTGCGCGGACGCTGGGGTTGGTCGCTGGGAGGCCTGGGAGCAAGGGGCTAAGCACAGCCAAGGCGTAGGGGTGTTCCAGCACGACGGGTCGATTAGTGGAAAAGAGAGGGCAAGGGCAGAGTCGAGCAGATCCCAGCGAGGGGTTTGGGAGATGCCTTGGATTCGTGTGTGTTTCGCTGGTCAAGAAGACGGCTTTTTGGTGGTGATTGATGATAAGAAGAGGAGAGGAAGAAGGGAGTGAGTCTCCGAGTTGGAAGGGGGAGTCGGTGTTTATATAACTAGAGCTGGCCCGGCCACAGTATCCTGCTTCCTGGTCCCCAGCTATGAATAATTGAAATAGTAAGAGACACAGGACAGTGGTACACCAGGGATTAATCACTTGGTGCGAAGACAGGCTTGTGTATGTGTGTGTGTGTGTGTGTATAGAGTGAAATTGCACGGTGTACTGTGATGGAGGAGTGAAAAGGGCCACCGACCCGGGCTGTTCAATCAGTATATTTATACACCCCAGGGAACATAGTTAGAGCAGTGACCTTGTTCTTTTCCTTTTTCTTCTTTTCTTCTTCTTCTCTCTTCTCGTCTCGTTTCTTTTCTTTTCTATCGGGAAGAAGCAAAGCTGAGCTCTCCCCTGAGGCCCGTCCCGGAACCCCGTCTGCCCTTTTCTGACGGCCAGAGCTTAATGGAAAGCTCTGATATGAGAGAGAGAGAGGGCTGTCTCTGGCTGTCTGGTCTTTGTCTCGGGTTTTCTTTTTCTTCTGTTGCTTCCTATTTTTTTTTTTTTTTTTTTTTTTTTTTTTTTTTTTTTTTTTTTTTTAAATCATCCCATTTCTTTTTCCCCTTCCCTTGCATTGGGGCCCTCTATTTTTCGCCCTTCCTCTCTTCCTTCTCGGCTTGACGATTTTAATTGGCAAGACGGTTGAGAGGCCCGGCTTTTGTTTCGCCCCCATGGTTGTTGCAGATAATATTGACGAGTCAGGATGGTTGATACATTGGTGTTGTAGTTAAGGGGCGCATATATGCTTTCCCCGTATCGATGCAGGAGGACAGGTCGAGAAGTCAAGGCTGGGGGATGAGCTCCACGTTTGACGCTCAGAAATCCGTATCCAGACTCCCGCGGTTACGGGCACAGGAGGGCCGACCCTGGAGTTAACCTAGTTAACCTAGTTGATGCCTGTATATATGGCCCGTCTGCGACGCTCAATTCGGATTACAGACAGGCAGACGGAGCATTGGCGTGAAGATCCCGGGAACCAAGCTGCTGGTGTCTTCAAAAAGCCACATCCTGGTTGGTTCCTGTTCATTTCTCTCCTCTCTGTCTCCTCTCAATCACCAATTGTTGTGTCTGTCGAGGGCCTCAGATATTAGCCCGTTAAATATCTCCTCGTATACTCCGTACAGATTTGAAAACGACACCCGCTGATTGCCATATAGAGTAAGGCAGAGGAGCTAACGTCCACCGCCAAGTGTGCCCGAATGCATTTGGTTATTCAAAAGAACCATGGCTATTGATAGATACCAGCGCGGACCAGCCGGATCCATGATATCACCACCACCACCGGCCGCAACTATCAATCGTCGTCAGCTTTCCTCCAGCATCTGCTTCCTTTTTCCTTGTCTCATCCTCAGCAGCAGACTCGCCCAATCACTAGATATATCCCCGCGGAGCCGCGACCTGAAAGCCAGCACCACCATCACACACACACACACACCTGTCTCTAACTATACATAGCATGTATAGATAGCTATAGATATGCACTCTTGTAACTAGACTCCCACATCCCTGGCGGAAATCCATCCCGACATACCGGCGCCCATCCTCCTGGCGTGTGGCTCTCCGTCCCATCCCCCCCATCACCCCTGGCCCTAGCCCTGGCGTACGTCAGTCATCGCCGCCAGTTGATCTTGAGCGCTGCCTCTTTTAGGCTTCAGACGGTTCTTCCAGGTAATTGGTCCTGCAACGGCTGGGGACAGTCGAGATGGATGGGTTGGAAGGCTGCTGGCGCAGGGACTCAGACCCCCTCTGGAGATCTGCCTGTCTTCCCGGCCTGCAATGCGGTATGTATCTGTACAACATCGATGTCCCTGTGCGAAGTTCGCTGCATTATCTGGTTGAGGGCAACGAGCGAACAAGCAAATATGATGTATCACGAAGATCCGATCTTCATCGCCGTGCGCCTCAGGTAGCTATATCTGGCGCGTCTGCTGCTGGTTCTGCTGCGCCAGCTACCACCTGTTGCAGCAGCTTATTATAGTCTCCCCGTCGAATACTTGCTCCTAGAGCTCCTGTTAGAATGCAGACATAGGCTGCTCCGTATATATATCAGGCAGAGATAGGTGCTAGATATGGGGTATCACTGCTCACAAAGCCATCTGCTGGCTTCGAGATGCTATCACCTCTCGCAGCCAGCTTGCCGCTCTCGAGCCGCCGGCACAGTCTAGATTGTCGATCTCGAGGTGTCTAAGATTTATGCTGAACCACATGACGACAAGTACACAGCGCTGCAGGGAAGAAGAAGAAAAGATACAGACTGACCTTTGACGTTGCGAGCCAGTGGCCCCGGTGGCAGAAGCAACGTTGGTGGACAGTCGGCTCATATGCAGTAGTGTCTATGTACGTTTGTATGCATGTATCTCCGCATTCATAGGCTACTATTCCCCTTTTTTATTTGAGGGCTGAACATCTATATACTACGTTAGAGTTACGTATATAGAAAAACGAATGACTATATATAACACCGAACAGCTAATTAAAACCATAGATAAAAAGGAAAGGAAAAAGGAAGGAAAATACGGGGTCATTCAAGGCGAGCTGCATTTGCCTCATTACACCAGGCACATTGGACTCTGCATGTCACTTCTTTTTGTTTGCTACCAAGGGTCCATCCCATGCGAGTGAAGCCCCACGGTCATGCGGCGTACTCCCTGAAGCATTGTCCAGTGACGACATCCTCAGACACCTGGCTGAAGAAGTGAAAGAGATCGACAGAACTCACTCATACTCCCGTTGGCTCAGCCGTTGGCCCCCCTCCCCCTTTACAATATAATACCAGGGCCAAGTAGATGTGAAAGGTGAAAAGAAAAAGGAATCATTATGGTGAATACCGGAGGTATATGGGTGTAATCGCTAGGTGGAAACAAACGAGAATTAATTTGGTACTGAGAAACCTTAACGCATAGTCAACCGAACGGCGGCATCTGGCCAATTGGAATGGGGCTGACAGTTGACTATCAGGACACACGAGCCAGTTGCCATGCCGTTGACGGTCATCGTTGTCCGGGCCATGGAAGGCAAACGATTCATGGAGATTAAAGCTGAAGCTCTTGGTACTGGTCCCGGCTCCGTCTTTGCAAGATTCTCGCGTGATTGACATGTCGGCAGGATGGCAGCTGTGACAGAGCCACCCTTACACGCGAACAGCGGGTTGGAAGGGGGGAGGGGAGGGAAAAAGAAATAAAGAAGAAAAGCATAGGAAGAAGAAAACAGAGGGATGGCAGGGGCAAGGCTGTCAAAGAAAGAGAAAAAGCGGAAAGTGTAGCCATACTGGAAGAGAACGGGATAGGGGGAAGCGGTTCGTATGGTCGGTCAAGGTAGACTCTGGCACACGACTTGAGAGAGCAAGAGGAAGAGAAAAGAGATGCCACTCCATAGCGTCGAGGGTCATCACAGTCGTGGAACATGCAATAATGGAAATCGAGCTAGGATATCTTTCCCCCACATGCTGATACCCGAACCCGTGAAGATCTTGTAACTCTGGGAATGGTAAATGTGGGATATATTTGGATCTTAACTGCAGTTCTTTGCTTTTCTCTTTTTTCATAATTTCTTTTCTTCTGCCTTCGCTCTTCATTCATGTGGTGGCTAGTTGCTATAGAAATGTTGATGATAGTTGTTGTCATTGATTGCCCTAATGAGGTTGATTCGTAAAACATATACATATTCGTGCTCCAACATATCATGTTGTGCCGTTAGCTGCAGATTAGATGGGGATATGCATCTGTATATTTGGTCCATGTGTGAAAGCTTTGCATTTTTTTTTGATTTTTTTTTTTTTTCTTGGGATGAGGGGAAGGGGGGGTTCCATGATACTCTGGGATGATTGATGGCTATCTTCAGCTTTAGCTAACCGTGCAATTGGAAGAGTGCGGAAATGCTAAAAAGAAACGAAAGAAGTTAGTAAAAGTTTGAAGAAATCAGGTACCGGTGCAGGTTGTGGATGGGGCTGGGTAATATGTAATGTGGCATGCGGAATCAACCAAAAGAGGCAAACCTTTCTCCATTGTGATGTCTTCTGATACTCTCAGACAGCAGCGCTGAAAGGTCGAGGACGACCAGTTTCTTCATGAGTCTCACTTTCTCGATGGGGAGAGGGAATGAGTTGGTTACGACGACGTAGTCGATACTGGGGCAATTCTCCATTTGTTCCATGGAATCGTCTCCAAAGATACCGTGAGTAGCGATGCAGTACACCTTCTTTGCGCCGCCCTTTTTAACGACTGTCTCTGCAGCCGCAATCCAGCTAGAGGCCCGGTCAATCATGTCGTCGACAATGAAGACAGTTTTATCCTTCACGTCGCCAACAAGGGTGATCATTCGTTCCTGGCCGGATCTCTGTGGACAGACATCTTCCTCGTCAGAGGATGCAGCTGCATCGAACGAGCCCCCTAGAGCATGTCCGGGTTGGTAGCCTGAGACATTTGACACGGCAGACATGCTCATCGGGTCTGGGATGGATCCCTCATATGCATCCGCCCCGTGGTTGGAAGCGGATGCAGAGGTAGATGCAGTCTCTGGAGATGGGTAATCATCGTCCACAAGGTGCCCCTGGACCAAGCGGCCGGTGATAACTTCTCGAGCTCGCTCATCGGTATATTCAGAGGAAAATCCGTCAGCGAGAGTAGACGGAGCGAGCATGCTATCCGGATGTGGCGTTCTATATGATTCCGACTCTTGTGCTGGGTTAGCAGAGGAGTCGGAAGTGCTGTTACGAGGTGTGAGGATACCGCTTTCAGTTGTGGCGGAGACAACTGAGCGACGGATTGTTGTACTTGGTATACGGTCAAACTTTTGCTCACCATCATGGCTAGTCGTGAAGCCTTGTTCAACAGAATCGAAAAAGATGGCACTATCGGTCATGGTACCAGCTTTTGCTTGTCTCTGCCGTCTTCTATCAGTAGTGACGATGCCAAAGTTGAGTTTCAGCGCATCAGCCAAAGACGTAACCCTCTTGCTCCCTCCGGCGTTCTTGGTGACGACCACCGCCTCATTCCATCGAGAGACGTTCATTCGGATCCACCGCGCGATTAGAGGTTCAGCAAAGAGGTTATCAACGGGCTTGCCGAAGAAACCTTGCATTTGAGAGGCCTTTTTTCAATACATTGTCAGTCACCCGGGCCAATTACTATCTAGAGCCTGTCGATCCTTACATGTAGGTCCACGGTGACGACATGGTCAACACCGGCCACAGATAGCAGGTTGGCAAGCATCCGAGCCGTAATGGCTCCTCTGTGGCTTTTCTTCTTTGATTGCCGTGAGTATGGGAAATATCTTTGGAATGCCGCATAGTTAGCTGAGCCGAAGCCGGGGGTGTATAGGGTAAAACGAGGGATAAACCTACGGCATAACAGCTTTCAAGCTAGTTAGTTGAGAATTCTTTTTTTTAAAAAAAAACACATTCTACCACTCTTTAGAGTACGGGAGGAACACACCTGTTATAGATTTCGCCGAGCCTCCCTTGCAGGCGGATATCATGATCAACAGCTCCATCACACTATCATTGATCTTCCTGCTCCCGCTCTGGACAATATAAACATCCTGATTGCGGACAGAAGCCCCGATATTGACGCTGGTTTCGCCATTGCTGAATTTCCGCAGCTCGCAAGGAGCTGGTAGAGTCCCCAGTCTGTCACAGATCGCTTCAGTCAGGGTGGGATGCGAGGTCCCCGAGAA